GGGGATGTAGGGAGGGATGTTGAGTGAGGCGAGATCTGTGTCTGGCTTCAGGAATGGGGGGGAAGTCCCGGGGGGAACTGGAGGAGAGGAAGGCGTGGGAGCATCCCTGCGTGGGACCACCAGCTTCCCGGCCGCCTGGAGAGGGGTGACAACGGTGGCCCCTCCAGCACATCTTAGGAGGGATGGGCGCTGATGTCATTGATGCCTTCAGATCGATGCCTTTTAAAAGGCCCGCATCTCCCCCCCCCCCCCCACGATTTCCGTGACGGGGTGAATCTCGCTTACATCACGCAACAAAGCCTGTGTGTGCCATGGGGAACTTTGGGGCTGGGAGCCCAAAAAGCGAGGGGGGAAATTAAATAAATAATGAAAAATTAAAAAGCTATCGCCAATCCTGGGATAAGTTCTCCAGGAGAACGTCCCAGTTCCTCATGGCCGGAAGACTCGTGGGCCAAAAGGGTTGAGGGAGCACAGATGCCACGGCTGGACCCATGGGCCGAGGGGAGCAGCTGTTACCTTGCCCACAGAGGAGGAGCAGGAAAAGGAATTCCACCAGGGTAACACCCAGCGGAGCCCCAAGCAGGGAGGGGAGAAAAAAAGGAAAGAAAAAGAAGAAAGAAAGGAAGAAGTAAAGGAAGAACGGAAGAGAAAATAAAAAAAGAAAAAGAAAAAAAAAAAGAGAAAAAGGAAAAGAAAAAAAGAAAATAAAAAGGAAAAAGAAAAAATAAAAAGAAAAGAAAAAAGTTGTGTGTGGGAGAAACAAATCCCTCATCTGCCTTGTGCACACGTCTGTGCGTTGGGTGCAATCAGCACGGGGTGATTCCTCCGGACTCAAGTCAAAGGATGATGATGCTTTTCATGGGAATGCGCGTTTTCCATCTGTCCCCGAGAAATATCCCTAATTGTTTGGTTTGCGGGGTGGGGGGGTCTTCTAAATCTGGCTCATTTGTGCTGTCCTGATCACCTGGTAAGACCTGGTTAGACCCAAGGAGAACAAACGAGGTCTTCACTGGGACTGAGAGACTCCCCCTTCCACCAGGTGACATGTGATGTCCCAAACTTGACACAGAGCTGTTAAAACCATGGGCTTCTTCCTTCCAGTAGCCAAAGAAGAAAAAAAATATTAACCTTTAGATAATTCCAGGACTGGAGATGGAGCTTTTCATCTGTAGGTCAGATTAGTCTTTATGTTACTGACATGGGCTGCCATTTTCCAAGGGAAAGGGGTTTGTAGGCTTAAAGAAAATGACCCTTTTTTTCAGAAATAAAGAGCTGCAGAAGTTCTCCTTTCCCTCTCTCTCTCTTTTTTTTTTTTTTCCCTTTCCCCCCACCCCCTCAATTCTAGGAATTTCATTCAGGAGCAGAAATGAAAAGTGTCAGATTTCCTAGGGCTGCGTGGAGCCCCGTGTTGCAGCTCTGTTGAGTCAGCCAAACCAAAAATAACCTGCCAAGAACGTGTACAACCCTCGCACACCCGGGCAGAGCTGCATCCCACGGAGCTGAGGGATGCGTGTGCGTGTTTGTGTGTGTGCACACCCACCCGTGGGGATCTCGCAGGGACGTGTGTGTGTGTGTCTGTGCCCGCATCACACTGACGCACTCGACGAAGAGTGAAAAATGCACTTCCCGAGAAACTCGGGAAGGAGGTGTCATTTACCACCGTGCCGTCATAATACCACAAATTTTCACTTTTCT